TAAGAAATCCTTAATCACAATATCATCACTTAATTTATCCAGATACACAAATTAATGCCAGAGCCAACAACAAGCTATAATAGTGGACTATTTTTATGCATTAAGCTATATGAGAACCAAGCCAAAAGTGATGCTCTGATTGTGCTTTGAACCGTCTGGGTGCAGCTCGCTACATTGCAGTGCTCATAACCACTACAAGAACAATAGAAGTTTTTTTTTAAAGAAACATATATCAAAATGTTTCCAAAACATCCACTTGTGATACTTTAGCTGCTTAGTTACAAGATTCCATATTAATATAGCTATCAAGTGATGTTAAATCACTACATTTATCTTACAATAACGGCAAGTGGTGTTCTTACTACTGTGCTGTACATATTCATGGAAAAGGATAAAACATTATAACTTTTTATGAAGTACAGAATATAAGCTTAATAATGTTAGAACAAGCACGTTAAAGCCAGAACCCATGTAAATTACCAAGTTAAAGACTTTGATACATAAAATATTTATGATGAAGTTGGAAGGTTGTGTACTTTTGCCCAACTGAGCAATCTTGTTTTTATAAAATATACCAACTTTTTAATGTTTAATGATTAACATGCTGTAATACACAGTTTAAAATTTAAAATCTAAAGAGTATAAGCTTTATTAGCTCCACTTGGCGGTGATTCCGGATACTATTATCATAACAGCGGTATTATGCGGTATGACGCAATAAGACATGTTATGACACGTTGTGATGCGATGTTGTACCACAGTGTACCTCGCTCGTTTTGTAGCAATCTACTCTTTATGTCTCTCTCACTCCCTTCCCTCTCTCTTGCTCTGTCTCTCCGATCTTGATCTTTATTGGTGGAGTTTCACTGCAGTTTGCATGCTCACAGCCATGGATCATTTACAGTTAGCTTTCACAGGGAATCGATGTTGCCATTGCCATGGTGTTTGCCGCCGCTCCTGGCGCACTTACTGTGTTACTCACACTCTCCGAACAAGCACAGCCTTTGTGATTCTCTTCCATATTAAATGTCATATCCTGTCTTTTTTTAGTAAACATTAAAATACCCTCTGTAGTAACCCTGAACAATTGCCTAACAGTTTTGGTCTGTTTTTGTTTGTGTGGGTTTCCTTTATATACCCTGGTTTCCTCCCAAAGTCCAAAAACATATTGCCTGTGTGTGTGTGCCCTGCAATGGACTGTCTTCTAGTCTAGGGTGTAACCTGCCTTGAGCCCATTGCTTGCTGGAATAGGCTCCAGTTCCCCCATGACCGTGAATAGGATGAAGCAAATGGAAGGATAGATAAATAGAAGAGTTGCATACTCCTAGAAGGAACATCTTTGTCCTTTGCAATACCAGACTGATTAGATTGTATAAGCTGACTGAACAACTTTACAGAGATGGTTCTCTGACATTGGATACTCTTGACAGTGTTTTCTCTATACAGTATGCATCCCTTTCAGTTACAGTTCAGATAAGGCCTTCAGATATGATTCAGTATGAGGAAAGCTGGGATAAAAACCTCTCTAATTTTTTTGCGCATTGATTGTAAGCAACAATAAGGTACACATTAAATGAAACTACACTGGCTGCACAATGCATTTGTGGGAATATACTGTTTGTTTTAAGCCAGATTGTGTTGTCTTTAAGTATTGACAGATAAATTCACATGTAGGCATCCTCTCACGAGGCACCAGTGAATGTAGGGGTTTGTGCATTTACTGGGACAATTATTAATTGTAGCAGTAAGTCACAAAATTATTCTTTGATGGCTATTAGAAGACCGGCCCAGCGGGATACTCAGCAACACACACACATGGATACTAATACACGACAATATATTTATTAATAGATAAAATGTGCATATAAACATAACAGATCTTATCGTGAGGGTTAGCAGAATACAAAAGGTATATATTCAATCACGAAGAGTTACAAACCAAGAGGGACATACGTTCAATATATCATTTATTCATACCGTTTCATAAATGAACTTGGATTGCAACGTCTACACTAGATACTCAAAAGAAAGTACAT